TGAGACGATTCTGCATTAGAAAAAAAAAAAAAAAGAATATTTATTTCAGTTTCTGCCTATTTAGAAGGTGGTATCACTATAAAAACAGTTTACATTTAAAGTACATTTAATTTCAATTCAATTCAGTAAAAAAAGCCATGCCTTCCTGGTAGTTCCATTAAGAATTAACACAGCAACACATACCTGCAGGTTTCTGATACTGCGTAGGGCCTTCTCATCCAGCTGACTCAGATCCACAGAGTCCATTTCACTGGCCAGCAGCTGAATGCACTGAAATAATAAAGAACATATGTCATGTATGCATACATAGACAATGTGCTTCGCTCCATTAGTAGCAGTAGCAATCACCTACCTCTCCGTTTCCAATGGGGACACTAATGACAATGTCTTCTCCACTGCCAGCAATAGGTGAGCCGTTAACGGACAGGCTGAACACCTTCTCTCTGTGACGTGCAAGTCTCAATGCTGGAGTCTTGGGCAATCTGACAGAAAAACAGACATTTACACAAATAGTCCTTAGAAAAATGTCACTAGTCAGACTAATTGTTTTTTTTTTTTTTTTTACAAAGTTTGGTAACCATTTTTAAATTATCTGGACCTTGGGGATGCAAAAATTGTGTTCGGATTACATATATGGACTATGTAATGCCAAGTTTATTTTGATATACTGAAATGGGATCTTGTAGATTGAGACGTTTTTTTTTTTTTGTAAATGTGTAATTTGTTCAAGTCAATAAATATTTTAAAACGTCATGAATATTCAGCGATCACAATCAAAGCCATATAATGTCATGTGCAAGTATTTACCTCGGGTCAAAGCGTGGTGTGATGAGCGGAGTGGCGCCAATGATCGAAGACTCAAGTAAACTTCTAGCAGGGGTGATCAGAGGCTTTCTTGTAGACCTGTGCACAAAAAGCAAACATGGATTCAGACTCTACAAGAACAATACATTGGGATTCTGAGGCAACAGTGTTAGGACAAAATCTGTGCGTTTAATATTAGCTGATTGTATAGTTTCTTTACCTTTGGATAGTGTTGCCCTGTTTGCTGATGGAGAGCGCTCTGGCCTTCTTGGATGTAGAAGGTGCCTTCTTTGATGCTTTCTTCTACATTAAGACATTAAGGAGAGAAAGAGAGTCAGGCTCCTGTACACAAACAGAGTAGTGTTGTCACGGTACCAAAATTTCAGTATTCGGTACCAATACCAGTGAAAATCCACAGTTCTCGGTACCAATTTCGGTACCAAAGCAAAACACAAAAACATGCCAATTAAAATATTTGACTATACTTCATTTAATCCAAACTGTTTACATATTTAATTTTAAAGGGCTTTTAAAACCTTCTAGAGTTATTCAGCCAAGAATAACAACTAAGTTAGCTAAAAAAAAATAATAAAAAAAGAAGCCCAGAACTGCTTTTCTGACTGATATGACACAATGTTAACCATTTGTACATTCTCTAACACGCATATTTTAAATTCACAATTCATTTAAAAGCCTCTGGTGTGTAAAAATAGTAAATATCATGTCCTCCAGTTTTTTTACCATTATAAAAGTTATGAGCATTAAATAGTTAATAAAGAAACGTCATTCTAATGCTCATTATATTAGCGCTAGCCGCGCTTATGCTAACGATTAACTACTCTAATAACAGCGATGTTCATTTCAATCTGACATTCAAATTAAAATATTGAATAATATTCATAACAGAAGCGGTGTTTCCCACAGGCTTGCACTCTATTTGTGGCGGCATATATATGCAAATTCATTCTCTGCCAGCAGGAGGAGCTGTTGGAGTGGGAGAGATAGGAGTTAGAGCTCTGCATTCCCGCGGCTCTCCCGACCAGATTTTTTGCGCCGCGGGATAAAATTCCCGAATAAAACGCGGTAGCGGTCGGTAACTCTGGTGTAATTTGAACGGGAGCTGGCGGTCTAACAATATCCAGTTCCCGACGTCCATTTAGAACAGCATATCTGCATTTTATTCTTATTGACCACCGGTACAGCCTGCACTCGGACTGTTATGCACGCATGCTTTCAGCGTCACGCCTTTTATTTGCGTGGTCAGTGCACAGCATGTGCATAACGATGTTCAGAGCAGACTGTACCTGTGGTAAATATACGGCCCTCAGACAGAACAGACAGGTTGTCGATGAGTGACACAGCAGAATAAGGATGGAGCAAAGCAATGCGTTCAACTCGTTTTTTTATAAATTTTGCTTAGCCTATAATTTTAAATGACAGATGTCATATTTATTTATTTTTCTCTGCAACACTTTTCCTAATGTGTTACCAGAAAAATGTCAAATGAATTTAGTATTTTGACAAGACGAAACATTTTTGTAGCCTACAACATTTTTATTTTCTCCGACACTTTTTACGGTGTTGCATAAAATATTAAACAAATTTTTTGTCTTAATACAATTTATATAAATTCAAGTCAAAGTCAATAAATTCAAGACTCTTGACAAGACGAATAAAATGACACGATTTTGTGCAGACTACACTTCCTTCTATTTGTTAGGCTATCTCTCTTTATTTCAGTAGCGGAAATTTAAATGTGAGATTCTGTAAACGGTAACGGCTGTAATAAAATAAGCGCTCCGCTCACAAACGCTGCTCAGGCATTGCAGGCAAGATGAAATGAAAATGACATCCATCATTTTCTGAAGACAGTCGGTCTCCTTCAGAAATACAGTGATATATAAACACTCGCACCGGGTTTCGACTTTGACACGTGCAGTGCTCATGTTTATTCAACGAAGTCAAAGCCTTTTGGAAAATCTATATTCCGGGTGTCTGTCTTTAAAGTGTTTTGTTAGTTTAGTGTGTTTCCTCATTTTGATGTCGCCACGTCTCAGTGCTTTTATGAAGAGAGCGCATCTGCTCACCTTTCGGATAGCGCATCAAGAACCGGACTGACCGGGTACTCGGTACCACCGGTACTTACAAAATCCTGGTACCGTAACGTTTTCATTTTTTTAGTACCGACTTGGTACCGAAGTACCGGGTCTTTTGACAACACTAAAA